GAGCACTAATATGTAACTTCTTATGATTTTCATGAATGACAGTAATTTTATTTTTATTAGTTAAACCAAAACGATACATATTAGGTTGGTAAAATCTAACGAACAATGAAAGGTGTAATAAAATTCACTACTTGGATGCACTAAATGATAACATAGGCTAAGCATGGTATAATCCACATCGACACAACTTAAAATCAACACAATCATTAGTTCAAACAGAAAATTAAAAGGGAGATTTTTTGTTATAAAATTAAACTTACAATAATAAATGCGTAGAAAAATAGAATTGCATGATATAAAATTTATAAAAATTTGGATTACCAAGGTGATTCATTTATGAGTGACTCTCCTAATCGTGCGAAAAAACATCAGCTTGATTATTTAATTTGCATTATGTATAAACGGGTATTGAAAATCATTAATTAGCTCTAATAATTCTCTTTTACCAAATTATTTAATCAAAACAAGTTTTTTGAGTTAAACCTAACTTTTTATTAACTTAATCAAACAAGCTATTTGCAATTTAGAGAACTCCAAGACTTTAGTGGTTGGTTGTGTAATTGAGAGAACTCCAAAAGTTTATAATCTTTTGTTCATTCAATACGTTTAAATATAATCTTCCCACACACATCTCGTAACTATTTTGTTTAAATTTAACCTCCTTCTTACAGAACTTGTAGTTAGTGTATCGCAAGATCTCTTTTTAGCTTTACCACTACTATTGCACAAAACAATTTTTTTTTTATCAGATGGTCAGCAAAAAAAATTTGTGTACTCAAACGTACATCAAAACCATCCATTTCCGCAAAGTCACTACACATTTCGATTTCCATATTTAATTATTTGAAGATGGAACCATTAACTGGAATAAATTATTTACGTACATTTGGCTTATAAGTGGATTCTCCAATTACATTATTACAATGCGATTCATATGTTGAACTGGAGTTTTCACCATAACAATATTATATTCATTAACAGTTGAATTTATAATCATTTGTGATAGACTCATATCATATTCTAAAATCGTTTTTCATAATAGTTATATGTAGTTAAGTACTATATTCAAATTGGATTGTATAATCACTTGTGAATATATATATATATATATATATATATATATATATATATATATATATATATATAATCTAATTTGCATGAATATCATATAAATTACTCTTTAATACTTAACAATTGAATATATAATCATATGTTTTTATTCATATATGATTAAGATATATGATTAAGCAGTGCTTTTGTCATATCATATTCTAAAAAGCTTTTTCATAATAATTGATATGGTCATATTTATGTTAATAATATATGATCCTATAAGGTCACACCTTTATCAAGTTGATATATTTTGTATATTTATTATTAATATGATTATTAATAAATAATATCGATTCTTGTATTTTAATTAGGGAATAATTATTGTTTTGTGAAAATAATAATTATAGGAGAGTATTACTAGTTATTATTTCATATAGTATGAATTAATAAGTCATGCACAACATTTTGGACTAGTTGGATTCTTTTGTCTTTTACTTAAAGACAAAGTTTATATTTTATAAACTTAGAGTTTATAAAAAATAAAGAATCTTACTTTTTAAATGGCATAATGATGGTGTCGGAGGTTGCTTTTTCAACCTTCTATCTTTTGTCTCTCATGCTTCTAAATGCTACCATTACTTTAGATTATTTTAATGGTTAGGCCTTACTTTTCATGAACTATATAAGAGATGCATGAGGCTTGCATTTTTGCAAGAGTGGAGTTCTTCTTCTTCCTTTCTTTCTCTCTAAAACTGTGGGTTTCTACTCTTCTCTCTCTCTCTCTCTCTCTCTCTCTCTCTCTCTTTTGAAGTTAGTTTGGTGGTTTAGAAGACCTCTTGAGTTGTTCCCTTTAGTGCTTAATTAAGTTAAGCACTTAAAGGCTTAAGACATTCAATAATACAAGAGGGAACTAGCATTTCAAGCGTCTTACTCTTGATGGTGGATACTTGTAGAGAAGATCATACACTTTGATCTTTTGTTATCTTCATCAACACCCTAAAATCAAGTGGGTTCAAAATCATCAAATGTTATCTCTGAAACACCATATGGTTGGTTTTATTTCATTCTAACATCTGTAAATGGATCCATGATGGTTCGGTTTTGTTATGAACTAAAAATAAACTTGTTATTTTTAAATTCTTCCGTTGCCGGTTTTTATGAAAAGCAAACTTTTATTTCGTATTAAAACCCAACAATTTATACATATATTGTAGGTAGTTGTCTTAATATGTATAAGCTCAATTGATATATTTTAAGATAAAAGATACCAATAATGTTTTGTATTGGATAAATATAGAAAAAATCATAGAATTGACTCGATCATTTAATTTTTATGATCTTACCTTGTCTTTTTATGCCTTTTTTGATCTTCTCTCTCGTTGCTAAAGAAAAAAGAGTTAAAGTTAGATAATACCAAATATTCAAGAAAATCTAGCATTTGCTTGGCGAAATGTCCTTGCTTCGTGAAACAATATTTTAAGAATTGAACGGTTATTATTTAATGAGTATTTATAGAATAAACAAATTCATGACAAATAGTTAAATTACCCAAATCGATAAAGTTTAAAAGTTATTTATCACCTTTTAACGATATATAAGTTTGGAAAATTGGTTTTAACCAATTTCTAAAAATGGGGTTTTCCTATTTTTTAAACACAATTTTAAACCATAAACATTATTAAATAAACAAATGGTTAAACGTTTATATTCTCCTCCTAATACCTTTGTTTTGGTATATCACACATCTAAAACAGGTTTAATATAAACGAGAAATTAATCTTTAAAGTGAGAGTGTTGGAAGAAATAATAAAGGAGTTTAATGGGTTTAGGCTATCGTGGATGGGAGAATGGAAAGAAAGTGGATATATTTAAGTACGAAGGTTTCTTTTAGTTCATGACAAGTGATCCTTAGACAATCCGAAATAACAAAGATTTCGAGTTGATTAAATATACAAAGTTACTACCTTCCGACGTGGTAGAGATTCCGATATTGAGAAAAGATTGAATGATCCGAGATTAGTATTGTTTTGTTTGTTTGTATTTTGTCTTGTTTACCGTAACAGCTGTAAGAGACAAGGTCAACTACAACGTTATCTCAAGTGGTTGATCTACAGTTCACTTTTAGTACAATTGTCTCTTTTTTTATTGGTTCTAGGTTAGTATAAATAGGATCATCACCCCCATGTAATTTCATACCTTTTCACATCCTTTTAATCATCAATCAAAGAATTATTCAGTCAATCATTCTCTTTGTTCTTATTCTTATTCATATTTTTATTGTTATAAATATGTATAAATACATATTGTATACATATGAATATGAAATAAATACATATTTATACTTAGTAATACGTACAAATACATATAATTATATATTTTATACAATATAAACCTTATAAATATGTACTTTTATACAAATAAATACATTTTTAATATATAAATACGTTTTTAAAGGAATACATAGGCTTGCACGTGTATATAAATACTAAATACAAGTACATATATTTTTAAAATTTTATTTATATCTATAAAAATATTTTTGTACATTTAAAAATGTATGTATAAAATATCTTTATAGATTTAAACATGTATTATAATAATAATAATAATAATAATAATAATAATAATAATGGTTATGACGATGATGAGATGATGAAGATGACGATGACGATGACGATGACGGTGATGACGATGATGATGATGACGGTGATGATGATGACGATAACGATGACGGTCAAAATAATAATTAAAGTAATGGTAAATCCAAATATTTTTGAAAACTTAAGGGTAAATCTGAACATTTTTAAAAACTTAAAAGTTTTACTAGGATTAGGTAACATTTAGGTGGAAACTAGCTAAAAAAAGTTTAAATGAACAAATTAAACAAAACATCCGGCTTTAATGGACCTGAAACACATCCAAGGGTAAGGCTGGAGGGTCTGGCTGCGGTCTGGGACCGCGGTTTGTGCCAGCTAGACCTTGCACAACGCCCCCGGACTGCGGTCTGGTGCGGTTTTGGCCGCACTGCGGCTGGGGAGTACCGCGTCACGTGATTGGCTGGTGGAATAATTGACCGTTGAATGCTTTTGGGCGTTGTTGTTTTTTTTATTACAATTTTTTTTTCTTTTTGCCTTTCTTTCCTATATATACATATACAATTCATTTGTTTTTAACCACAATACAACCTCTTCTCTCTCTCAAAATTTAAAAAAAAAAAATCACCACTCTCTTTCAAAAATGTCATCTTCTTCATATTCTGAAGAATTTCAGACTATTTTTGATACCGCTGTTGCGTGTGCTCAAATGGCGGAACAAACATACGATGTTTTATACATTTTTTTTTGTGTAATGCGATGTAATGTTTTTTTTAATTTTCAAGTAATGAAAAATTAAGTTTTTTTATTAAAAAAGAAGTTTTAATTAAAATAGCTAAAAAATAAAAATAAAAATAAAAGTGTGACACCACTCCCTTGGTGTGGCAAGAAATCACATTTGTGTGGTAAAAAAATGACGTGACGCTTATGTGGCGGGGGAGTGAGTGCGGTTTCGGTGACACCACTCCCTCCAGCCTAAAATCAACATTTTTTTTGAAAACTTAAGGACTTTTATGTCATTTTCCAAAAAAAAAGAAAAAAGAAAAAGAAAAGCTTGGCAAATACAACTTATTTTAACATGTTACTTCTCATATCTAATTAGATAGTCCCAACAAATGTCTTAGTCGTCAACGTTGTTACAGCCAATTCGTCTAAGTATTAAGTATTTTCAAATTTTAATATTTAGGAATCGGTTCCAACGATTACCCGACGGATAACGGTTCCTAAAAAATGAAAACCGAAACCGAAACCGGTTCCCACTTTAATAAACCGGAATCGAAACGAGACCTTCGTTCGAGTTCCAAAACCAATAATTCAGAGACGTTTACGGATCCAAAAGGGACCCACTTATCCATGCTCATCCCATCTAAAAGAACAGAATGGTCAAAGTTTTGTCTGATTTTAACACTCATACGTCATAAGTTGACCTTCATATTTCATACCAGTAATCCAACCTCTGGAGTAAGCAATTTCAATGGAATTTCTCTCAAACCCAGTTTCCATATCAGTAATCTCAACCATATCTCTTCTTCTTCTTCTTTGCATCTATGTCTACGATCAACAGAATCAGAGGAAGAAGACGAAGACGAAGAAGCATCATCCAATTGCTGGAACCATGTTCAATCAGCTTCTTAACTTCAACAGATTGCATGATTACATGACTGACCTTGCTAAAAAACACAAAACTTATCGATTGATTAGTCCTTTCCGCTACGAGGTTTATACATCTGATCCAGTTAACGTTGAGTACATCCTCAAGACAAATTTCGAAAATTATGTCAAGGTATGTGACCTAAATGTTCAAATTTGACTTTAACTACATGTTCCTTCAATGTTAAACGAATTCATCTGGTTTAATGCGCTAATTAGATTTCAATTTCATTATACATTTTTCCAAAATTATGTCAAGTTATGTGTTCTATTCGGATTTCAGTTTCTTAATCCGGATTATAACTTGTATATTGATTCGGGTTTGCTCCATGATTTGATTTCTGAAACATGTTACTTGAAACTTAAGTGAATTTATCTAGTTTTAGTTTGTTCCATGATTGATTTGTTTCTGGTTTTTTAAAATGTACCCTAATCGGATTTCAGTTTGTTTAATCCATTTTACATGTTCATTGATTTAGAATTTCTTCCTTCGTAAGTGAAGTACAAACTTAAGAAAACCCATCTAACATTGATTGCCAACCACCATTGTCCCCTACATCTATCTGTTTCTTGGCATTTTTTGGATATTTATTTTGGTGTTGATTTTATTCAAAGCAAAGGGGGGTGTATTTCGAACACAAGAGGATAAGCTTTTCAATCAAATATGTATGGTGAATATTTTCAAACATGTGAACTCCTGGTACTAGGTAGTTGGTAGATTTATTTATCAACAAAATTTTAATACGTAATTCAACAAAATAAATTATAATGATGGGTCAACATCAATTCAATTCGTATTATTATTAAAGCCAAGAACTTTGGGCATGTTAGGCAGGAGGTTTTTGAGAGTTAAAAAAAAATAATAAAAAAAAATAAAATAAAACTTCATTCGGTTGTACGAGCTTTTAGCTTTTTGAGCTTTTAGTTTTTTTTTGGAGCTTTTAGCTTTTGGTTTTTATATAATTTTATATCTTTAAAAGTTAACAACTATTTTTCCCAAACAAGCCTCCACAAATAAAAGTTACAACTACCGGCTACCAGCTAGTTTTGCCAAACATGTCATTTATATGTTATCAAAATCCAACTGAATTTATATTAATTGTTAGTTTTAAAATAACGGTTTTGTTGATTGAGGGTATTATTACAAGCTTAAACACTTCATATTTTAAGATATGGCTATATTAGTCCCTCATTTCATAACCTAATAAAATCTAGTCTTTCCACCACATGAAAATCTCAATAACTTCTATTATTAGTAGGTACAATCAAAATTAGAAAAAGTTCATTTCAAAATTATCTATTCCCCGTTATCATTATTAGTTATTACAACCTAGTATGATGATACTGATTAGTGTCCATAATATTTTCTATTTTGTCTTTCTTTAACTCACATTTTAATTATTCTATAAGTAGTTAAACTACAAATATTTTGCAGGGAACATATACCCATGACATTCTAAAAGATCTTCTTGGTGATGGAATCTTCACCGTTGATGGTGACAAGTGGCGAGAGCAGAGAAAGGTCTCAAGCTATGAGTTCTCCACAAAAGTCTTGAGAGATTTTAGCAGTGTAATTTTCAGAAAAAATGCAGTAAAACTCGCGCATATATTATCTGAAGCAGCTAGTAACAATCAAATTCTCGATATAAACGTAAGTCCCTTTTTGTCTGAGATGACAAAACAGATTGTACTGTGTGTCTTTATGTCTGTCTGACATACATTTTAGACCAGGACTGAGACTGAGACTGATGTCAATGGACAAAAACTCGCTCTCAATCTCTTGTTTGAAAAAAAAAGACGGGATTATCCATCTTTAATTACCTTGTTTTAATTATTGGTGTTTATGATATTACGTATAAACAGGACTTTTTCATGAAAGCGACATTGGATTCAATATTTAAAGTTGCATTTGGGATCGATCTTGATAGCATGTGTGGTTCAAGTGAAGAAGGTGTAAGATTTAGTAATGCTTTTGATGAGTCAAGTGCAATGACACTCAAAAGATACGTAGATATAACATGGAAAATCCAGAAATTTTTCAACATCGGATCAGAAGCAAAGTTAAAGGAAAGTATTAAAGTGGTTGATGAGTTTGTTTATAAACTTATAAAGATGAAAACCGAACAAATGCACAAGAATCAAGATGATTTTTCGGTAAGTTTATACTCTTTTAATAATGGGTTTGACCAAAAAAAGTGAGAGTTGACTCTGAATTATATAATTGCAGTGGAAAAGAGAAGACATTCTATCAAGGTTTCTTCAAATCAATGACACAGATCCCAAGTACTTACGAGATATAATACTAAACTTTATAATTGCTGGAAAAGACACAACATCTACAGCTATGACTTGGTTTATTTACATGCTTTGCAAACATCCTGAGATCCAAGATAAAGTTGCAAAAGAAATCAAAGAAGCAATCAACTTTAAAAATGATGTAACAAATGTTGAAGAATTTGCAAATGTTGTGAGTGAAGAAGCATTAGAAAAGATGCATTATCTCCATGCAGCTTTGACAGAAACTCTCAGACTCTTTCCTGCAGTTCCAGTGGTAATAATCTCTTATTTTTTTTTTCAAATGTTGTTATTTACTATATATGATGAAATATTATCAACTTTTTTATGTTCAATTTATGTAGGATGCGAAGATATGTGCTTCAGATGATGTTTTACCTGATGGATATAATGTAAATAAAGGGGACATGGTGGCTTATCAACCATATGCAATGGGAAGAATGAAGTTTTTATGGGGTGAAGATGCACAACAATTTAAACCAGAAAGATGGATTGATGAAAATGGTTGCTTTAGGCCCGAAAGTCCATTTAAATTTACTGCTTTTCAGGTTAGTATAATATCGTTACTTTTTTTAAAGTAACAAATGTTCATTTTCGTCAGAGTAAATTACAGTTTTGGTCCCTGGGTATTGCTGATTCTTCCAATTATGGTCCCGAAAATGTTTTCTCTTGCGATTTTGGTCCTTGTTTAAGGTTTTAGTGGCGTCTTTGGTCCTGTTCTAAGTAAAATGACTATAGTTTTGCTACCAAATTTGTAGAAATCAATTATATTTAGAGTAAATTACACGAATGGTCCCTATGGTTTGGGGTAACTTGCACGCTTGGTCCCTAACTTATTTTTTTAACTCGGAAGGTCCCTATTGTTTGTTTTTTTTACACGCTTGGTCCCTACAATTTGTTTTTGTTACGCGCTTGGTCCCTATCTTACCTAAAAAGACTATTAAAAAATGGTGAGGTAGGTAAGGAAAGGTGAAGGGGATGGGGTTGGGGTTGGGGGTGTGTTTATTTAAACAAATTAAAAAATCAATGGCAAAATAGTCTTTTTAGGTAAGACAGGGACCAAGCGCGTAACAAAAACAAACAGTAGGGACCTTCCGAGTTAAAAAATTAAGTTAGGGACCAAACGTGCAAATTACCCTAAACCATAGGGACCATTCGTGTAATTTACTCTTATATTTATGGAACAAACTTAGTTATTTTACATGGAACAGGACAAAAACCTCAAATAAAAAAATAAAAAAAATAAAAAAAACTTTTTGAGACCATAATTGCAAGTATAAGAATGTAGCAGATTTTTGCAGTTATGGTGTTAAAAAGTTCTCTTACAGTTTTGGTCAATTTCTGAAGTTTTTGTAATATTTTTTGGTTCCTATTCCAAGTAAAATGACTATATTTTTTGGACCAAAATTGCAAAAACTAGCTATTAGCTATACTTGGGAACCAAAAATGGTAATTAATTTCTATAAAACAGGGACCAAAAAAGTTACAAGAATCTCAAATAAGGACCAAAAGTGAAAAAGATAACTTTTTGGGACCAAAATTGAAAATATCAGCTATACTCAAGGACAAAAAATGCAATTTACATTAAATAAAACTAGCAAAAAACATTATTATATGTGACGTTCTGAAAATGATTATTTATTGCGACTTAAAAAATCGGAATCCTAATCCAACTATTCATATGATTATCCGATTCCGATTCTCCAAATTTCACTCTAATGACATTAAATGACAAAAATACCCTTTAAAACTCACATCCAAACATTAACAACCAATATCTTATCTCAAAGTATAAACCTTCCACACGATGTCAAGAGAGTGAAACTTGAATGTGAAGGGTATTTTCGTCATTTGGCCAAAATCCAACAAATCTCTACATTTATCTTATAAACATTTTGTAAAATGTATATTTTTATGGTCTCCTGATACGATTTTTCATGCAATTTTGTTTTCATGTTGAAAAAAAAAAAAAAAAAAACAGGCAGGACAAAGAATTTGTTTGGGTCGAGAATTTGCATATAGGCAAATGAAGATTTTTGCATCCATTTTATTAGGTTGCTTTGTTTTTAAGCTAAGTGATGAAAACAAAACTTCAAAGTACAAAACAATGCTTAATCTTCACATCGATGGTGGATTGCATGTTTGTGTTTTCAGTAGATACGTGTGATATATACTAATATGACACTTTAACTTGTAAGTATAATGTATGTTTGTACTTTGTAATATGACACTTTAACTTGTAAGTATAATGTATGTTTGTACTTTGTAATAAACGTGTTCGTGAATAAATACATTCATAAAACCAGAAAAAGAAAAATTAATATGGAAAATAGTTTATGTAAGAAATTCGGGGTTATAAAAAGGCTTGGAAATTCTGAGAATCGTGTTAAAAACTTTCAGATTAAAGTATTTGGGTGGTACTCCCAATTTCTAATCGGATAAGACTCAGAAAATTGAAAAAACAAAAGAGAGAATATTCAAGATGTTATGAAGAAGAAGTGTACCAACCACAGATATGATCATATAATCAGAAAAACGTCATGTCTTAAAACTGCCACATGATAGTTATATGTCCTAAAACTGTCAAAACGTCATAAACCAACTTAAATCCGGGTCTAGAAATGGATCACAAAACCGGATACATTTACCAAAAATCCGGATTTCTGAAGCATTTTTTAATATAGTAACATAACATATATAAAAAATTTATGTCTTAAAGCTCGACCCTGCTTGGACCCCGCTCCCAGAGGCGCTGCCCCCGGACCCCCGTCGGTTCAGGGGTTTCGCCCCTAAATAGCAGTGTACTTTCAACAAAGACAATATTAAACAAATGTGCACTCCGCATCATGCCGATATGTTTAATAATCGTCAAAGTGACATTGATCAACAAATTAACCCCATTACACTTAAATAACATTAGTGGTATAAAATCATCAACCGTTTATATCATTCAATTGTACCTCAAAAGTTTTAAGAGGTTTTACATTCATGTTTCATTTTTGTTCTATCTGTGTGGAAAAGAAAATAGATTATAACTTTTTTTTATATGTTTGATTAAGCTTCACTATTGACTTGACAATGACGTGGGAACGCATTTGAAATAATTTCATTAGATATCAAGCAACGTTTAAACTTGTTCAAATAGATACATCGATTCTTTTATTTAAATGATTTTATGACTAACGTTTAAGTTTTCTTCCATTAGTTTTTACCTTTTTAGTATATATTCTTTTATAAAATTAAGAAAAAAACTATACTAATACAATAATAATCTATTTTTTTCAATAAAGGTGTTTACGATATTTTAAGATTGTTAGCTCGTTTCATTTTATCAAGTTTATTAAAACTCGATCTCTACTAATAAAACGAAAAAGAAAATGTCTAATAAAAATAATGCTTTTCCAAGAATTAAACAAAACATTTGCAAATTACAAAAATACCCACCAATTTCAACCAAACTCGAAAAGTGATGTCATCCTAGAAATACCCGTTTTTTTAATTCAAACCATTTCACAAATGCCAACTGCGACATGGTATTTTCTAACAATAAAAAATTATTATATATATTAAAACAAAAGTTCTTAAGTAAAGTTTTATGTTTTTAAACTTTTGCCGCTAAAGTTTTGATTTTAAAATTTGGCCACAATCTTTTAGAGTTTTACATTTTGGCCATAAAATTTTGTTATTTTAGACTTTGGCCACATATAATCTTAAACTTTGGGCATAAACTTTCTTATTTTGGAGGTTAGCCACGACTTTCTTATTTTGACATATTTGATCCCTAAACTTTCGTATGTTCGCACTTCCCACCTCTTTGTCGAATGCCACGTTCTACCCCTACTTTGTAAAATGTCATTTTTATTCGCTTAAATTTGAACACCGAGATTTTTTCATCTTTTTATCTTCGGTATATTCGCATATTTGTAGATTTAACATGTTTAATCCCTACGTAGAAAATAAATTACAAAAATAATCCAAATGAGTTTTTGTTTTTCAAAAACAAGCCTAGTAATTTCGTAAGTAAAACCTTCTCTGCATCCCCGCGAAGCAAAGAGAGGGCATTTTCTAGTTAAAGATTAAAAGGGAATGTAGTTAAAAGATCTTGAACCCCAAAACGGCAAAACCCCTTACTAAGAGGATGCAATCCAATCTCCGTGTTTGTTCAAAATCAGCATATCGTTTGTTAGTATTACATACCAAGACTTTTACAGCTTCCTTCTAATTATCCAATATAATTGTCATTTTCTAAAATATTTTTATCATTTATCCGAACATCACTTTATCCATACAAAACTTAATGTATTAAAAAAATAATGACCTAACTCACAACATTACATGATTCTGAATAACACATTTGCCATGAAAAGCACTATAAAGATGGTTGTGTTATGTCTATTGTGGGTTGGTGAACTCCGGGTCTTGAAGCCCATTTCTTTTGATCTCTATACGCTTCAATGGCTCTCAACCGAATCCTTTCTTGAGAAGCATTCGAAGACCCAAATTTCTACAAACCATAAAACAACTCAAAAATCTAGATAATCACTTATTTAATAGTAGAGATAGGTAGGTAGCATTAAATTTATCTCAATAATCACTTTTCCATTCAAATATGACTATTTTATTAGAAAATGACTTAAGATAACCATTTTCTTTAATGATGTTCCATAACATAGCCTTAAATTTTAGTTAAGTTTCGAAATAGCCTCAACTATTTGCATAGTTCCCACGAAAAAAAAATTGAAAAAAAAAAAATAATACTACTACGAAATTGACTCTCCGAAATGCGAAATTAGTTTTTGTATTGCAAAGTTCATGTTTTAACAAAAATATAAACTTCTTATCAAAACAACATTTTTTAAAAAGTTCACTTTGTTCTAGGGATCTTCAAAGACCATTTTCACAGCAAAATGAAGTCTTAGGTTGAGACTTGAGAGATTTTACCAAAAAAAAAGGTGTAAAATGAGAAAAAGTCTAAAAATGCATTAAAATATGAGGTACCAATTTCCCAGCAAATAGTGCATTTCATAATGACCATTGCAAAATGAAACTATCTTAAAAAATAGGTGAAATTTTTGGTTATTTTTGGCAAAATCATTAAGAAAAGTGGCTATTTTAGTCTTTTTCTTTTATTTTAACCTTAAATAATCATGTCACATTTAGCCAATTTCAAGATTAAAAAAATCTAACCTTGGGAATATTGACCAACTTTGGTGGAGCTTTAACAACGTCTCCAAATTTGATCTCTTCACGTCCAGGAAAGTTTATTTCACCCTCATTTGTCTTCTTCTTTTTCTTTTTCCGTTCTTCTAGAAGTCTGTAAATATCATTCCAATTGTTCATAAACACATTGGGGAAAAAAAAAAGGAAAACATAAATAAAAACAAGTTTCCAAAAACCAAAAAGAATAGGACTTAACAAATAACATATTAATAACTTACAAAATTTTTAAAAAACAAATGGTAGAAACCAATGAAAAAACTTACTTTTTCTTGCGTTCCTTTCTTTTTGAACCAACTGCACCTAATTCTGCCTCAAACCGAAGATCATCTACCTGCTTCCTTTTCCTTTTCTTCTTTTTCTTTTCTGTTCCTCCATCAGTATCTTTAATCTTGGACTCAGAAACCACAAAATCAGGTTTTTCATTTGCACCAACTTTCTGCAAAAAAAAAAAATTAAAAAACTCTAATAATGTGTTCCACAAGGATTAAATACCAATAACTTCCACCAATGTTCTAAGTTGTTCACTTTTAATTCGATGCACATGTTATTGGGTTAGTATAAAAAAATGGTATCAGGCAATGTTATATGGATAAAAGATGTTAAGAATGAGGGCAAATTTGTAAAATGACAAGCAGTTAACAGAGAAAGTATCATTCTCTATTAAGCCGTTTTTCTATATTAAGTCAAAAGGAAACACCCATAGCTTACAGCTTATTGATTACAGATTAGGCCATGTAAACATGAGATTTTCATATTAAGTATTGTTTAAAAGTGCCCATGACTTCCATTAAACTCGAATAAATACATATCTATTTTGGACCAGTAAAATCAAGTCCATTGGCTTTGGAAATCAAAAAATGTAACCAATTTTGAAATTTACAACTTTAAATTTTAAATCAAGCCACGTTTTTTAGGCTATGTAATGAAATATTGTAGAAATTGATGAACAAAAACAACCAGGACATGAGAATTACTTACATTTTCTATTAAATTTCCACCACCAGAGCCACCACGGCTATTGCCGCCTCTCTTATGCTCTTCAACGTCAACTGTTAACTTTCCAGACCCTGAAATCGCCATTGTAAGTGCACTAAAAACACATTTTTTTTCTCAAAAGAAAAGGGATAAAAAGCGAAAAGCTAAAACTGCTTATATTTGTGGATTTATGCATATAAATTGATAAAAGAAAGGGGATCAGAACCTGAGGTATATGACATGAGTTGGCGAAGCTTGGAGGGAATTACATCGAGGGATGAACGAACCGGCGGTGGGGGTAATCGATTCTTGCCGATTCCATGCGCTTCTTTGTAATTCTTTTCTCTTCTCTTCTTTCCTTTCCCTCCCATCTCTCTGCTACTTTCTAGGGTTTATGCCGCAGGGGGTTTTGCGGTTTTGGGGGCTGGGTTTGATTTCGAGAGCCTTATAGCCCCAAAACCCTTCCTCTTGTTAACCTCCATCCCTCCCGGTCCAAACATATATGGGGTTAGGGGACGAAAAGAAAAAAAAAGATATTCAAAAAAATATCTTTTTTTCTTCACTATAATCACGTTCAATTAGCAATAACAAGCAAGACAAATTGTTTATCTTTTGAGCTACTTTGAGTTTGAACCAATTTTAGGCTTTAAAAATCATTTAGGTAATATATATATATATATATATATATATATATATATATATATATATATATATATATTACCTAAATGATTTTTAGAGCCTAAAGTTGGTTCAAACTCAAACTAACTCAAAAGATAAACAATTTGTCTTGCTTGTTATTGCTAATTGAACGTGATTATAGTAAAGAAAAAAAGATATTTTTTTGACTCTTTTTATCATGCTTGTCTATATATATATATATATATATATATATATATATATATTATATATATATATATCTATATATCTATATATTAAGGCATTATGACTTTAATGGGAGTTTTGACCTAGGGTACGTATGTCGGGCGTAAAAGCATGTACGCTACACGTACTGCACCTCGACCCCGATTTCCCTCCTGCATCAGTTGTTGTATATGGGGCGTACAAGGTGGTACGCGGGGTGTATGGCCCA